GTGTAAAATATAAATGTATCAATCAGCAGTCGTCCTATTTATAGGAAATATAGGAGGTTTTCTTTAAATATAGGTTCTTTATAGGATCCTATACAAATTATAGGAAATATAGGATATATAGGAGGTCTGGGATGCCTGTATTATCCCGCCGAAAACGAAGTCCTCGCCCCAAGCTTTTTTAATTAAGCTCCCAAATAGTATGCGGAGGACTGAAGATAGTGCCCTTGAATGTGACTGAATAGATCTATCAATAATATATARCTATCCTAAAACTATTACCTTCTCACGATCACTTTCTTTTTCATTTCTAAATTCATCTGAATTTGATGGCTTCGTGAGTGGCTCCCCCAAACTCTCCTTCTCTGTACTTGAGCTTTTGAGTATAGACTTTGGTGCTGGATTATAATGAAGATAGATGTCTGAAGGAGCCGTGATTGATTCTGATTCTGATGGTGACTAACAAAACATATAAAAAAATACAATATTAAACTGTTGTCCATTCAGCTGCTGGAAAACATTATTAGAAAATCTGAATTAGCATTTGAATGCTTACTTTTTACACGACTTTTACAATTTTGGACGTCGTCGCATACACTTTAATTTTGCAATTTTGCGGAAAAAAGTATAATCCTTCAACTTGAATAAATAGAGGATATTACATGGGCGCGCGGAGATACGAAATTTATCTTCGAGTGTTGAAAAGATCTCTCACAAGTGAGCGCAGCGAACGAGTGAGAGATTTTCAACACGAAAAGATAAATTGCGTATCTCCAAGCGCCCATGTAATATTCTTTTTATTATATAATTATTATCAATGAAGTATGTTTTGGCTTTTTCAGGCAATTCTTTCCGTGKATTTTTGAATAGCCATCGCAATGGTGTTATTTTCACACGTGCGTGAAAATAACATGTTATTTTCACGTGTGAAGATATCAATTTTTCGAAATAGAGAAAAATAGATATTTCATAGTTAATTATATAATAAATATATTTATCATATGACCCATACGGCCCTACTGGCGCGCTCTAATAAAACCATTGGAAAAAGTCACGTGATGGGGGCCGGACGGGTTGACGTAAGCGGGCCGGAAAAACCCGTCCGGACCTGCTCGAATCCGCGCGCTTTCTTTTTCTTAATTATTTTTATTTTCGTGAGGGTCATATGATAAAATGCTTATTGACTGAGTTAGGTCGGGCCGTACGGGAAAATATTTGGCTCTCGGTCATTTGTACGCGCGAGGTCCGTACGGCATCACCTCGAGCCAAATATTTTTCCGTACGGCCCTCCCACTCAGTCAATAAGTACATTATATTTTTAATCCTTATGTTATGTTTCGTTGAATAAATCATTCATAATTTGTCTCCAAGCACACCTGACATTGCTTGAGCACAATTTACTTTAATTCAATTAATTAATTTTGAAATTAATGAAATAAAAAATGAATAGAATATTAATTTATTAAAGTAAAAAAAAATCTATTTCCATACCACACATGCTTGATCATTCACCGTAACAGATCCACTTGTAGGATTAGTAAAATTCACCATAATAGTCTTAATGTTATCTTGGTCTTCTGTTTCGGCACCGCTGCTGTTATCACTGTCATTGCTGTCATCACTGTCATCACTGTCCGAGCCCTTAAGTTTTAACTCATCCGCAAACTTTACCTCAGTTCGTTTTGGTAAACTCCAAGTATCATATTTTACAGTTTCTGAATCCTTGAATCTTTCAGATGTACCAAGATTTTCAAGTTCTTTATTCCTGGTTTCGTTGAGTTCAAGTCTGTCCAGCTTTGCAAATAATTCCTTGTCTTCATCACTCATATCTTTTACTTTGCAGCGTTGAAACTGCTTTACCTTTTTGGGTGCAAACGTTTTGGCCTTTTCGTGTGCTATTCTTGGCCCTTCAAAACAAACAAAAATTGAAATGTGTTTGTGAGAACTCACTTTAAGGTGCAAGCTAATATCAAAATAGTGGTCATATAATAAAACTCTTATCAACCGAGCTTGGTCGGTCTGTAGGGGATAATCTTGACCTCGGTCGGGTACAGACCTCAGTCAAGATTATCCCGTACAGACCTCCCGCTCGGTTAATAAGATCTAATTATTGAATATTATATAATAGCGCAGTGCAGTCGTGACGTCATAAAAACGAAGACAAAGGCGAAATTCGGACAAACAAACTTAC